ATCTTATTACTTTTACATTGCGCAGACCTTATTAGTTTTACACTTAAATGTGTTCATATTAGTTACCTTATTTGCATAATTAGTTTTCTGCATTTCCATCAATATCTCAAGTTCAAGTAATTTTGAATTAATTTTTAATGTGTCTCCAATACTCTCAGCACACGGGAGTTCTTTCTAAGCTTTCTTTGATTTCAAATATTTGGTTACCAATAAGGAATTGTGTCCACAATTACAGAAAAATAAACAAAATGTGACACCTGAATGTTGGCAGGAAAAATGTTGGTTTCTAATAAGAGGGTCAAACTTGTGGAGGATATGACCAGACCAGGTGGATGAACCGTAAAACAAAATCTGATTGGTTGATGGTTGATCACCTGGGATTCCTTCCAACAGTCTGTTAATTAATTTGTAAAAACCTGATGTAAATTGTTTATCATTTTCAGATGATATTTCCTGGTATGAATGATATGAATTTACTTCTAAATCTGAGTGTTGACTCCTTACCAACGGCATTGCCGAATTTATGTGCAATTATCTATACTTCTAAGGTATGTCTAATTATTGTAGTCATATTAGTTATTGCTATTATTACTTGCATTATGATTTACTTACAGATGGTCTAGTCTTTTCACCTCTAGTTCCCTCTTTTCATCACAAATTCGCAAAATAGTTTATAGTCTCCACTTTCCTTCAAAAGATAGAGAAAAAATAGCCAAATCTTTTGAGTAAAAACTGAAAATTTGCTCAAATTTTGGCTGTTGGCTTGAAAATTTGGAATCCTTTCAAGAAATGTTGAAGAATATGAAATAAATATGAAAAAAGTGCAAAATAATTTTGGTCAGATGGTCTGGTGGTGAAAAAGCTATTATGTGTATATTTGTGTGTGAATATGTGCAAAATATCTGCCTCTAAACATTTTGATCTCAATATTATGTCTGAATCTGTTGGTGATTCAGTTACAAAATTTAGTTTGTATTACCTGAAGGGGAGATCAAATAGCAATGTCATATACCATGTTTTGGTATGTTCTATTATCAATTCGTGCTCTTGTTGTGATGCATCACTGCTTTAGAAAGATTAACTTTGTAAATGTTTCTCAGAGTGCAACTTTAAACTGCTGGGTATTTTCCCCTTTTTGTTATACAATGGAGTTTGTGGTATTCATGCTTTTAATGGCTATTCCATTCTTCCAGGACATCCAGCAGAAAGTATCCGCTGCTAACTTCATTCGCCAAACCATTTTGCAGAGGTGAGTTGTTGAATATATTTTCTTTTCTGCTGTAGTTTGTTTTGCCGTATATACTACTTGTCACCTTGCATAAAACTAAAACGTTGTTTGTGTTACCTTGTGCACATACATTTACAAACAAAACAATTTGAAAATATGATATGCAGAATGGCCAAAGGATATCTGATTTACGTAATACAGAATCATTTGTATGCTTTGGAATGTTCTGCCAAGGTGTACAAAAATGGAAAGCGAAACTTCACTGTTGAAGGGTTTTTATGTGCCAGACTAATACAGGAGGTTAAAATATCCTATCTTGTTTGTGTGTTAAATTTGGACATGTGTATGAAATAAATGTTGTTTTCTTTCAGTGATATGGAATGCATATTACAACATGGAAACTTAGGAGTACTCACTCAGGTACTGGGATACTGCGGAATGCCAGAAGTACAGGAGTCATTATTAACATGTCTGGAGCATCTCAGCATGCATAGTGAAAGGTATGATCATTGCTATGTTTTGAGATATTTAATGTCAAATATAAACAAGCATATTTTTTGAGATTTGCGAAAATGTAGCTTTTCTATATACCGGTACTGTGTAATGTAGTTGGACATCTCTTCCTCTACCTGTTGAGTTTTAAGGCACTGTAGTGATAGCTAATAGCTGTGTTGTGGAGAAACCTCTTAAATTATTTCTGAATATAAAAATTTCATTTACAGTGTACGCTTTGAAATATCCAATGAAGGTGGAATAAAGGCATTATGCAGAATGCTGTTGCGGGTAAGTGTTTTGTTCTTGTGTCACCATATACGAACATTAGCAACAACCGGTATGCTGCTGGTCCAATCTCTGTGCCGACTCTGTTTCATGAAATATGTGTGATTGAAGCATCTGTATGGGACAGTAATATACCATCTCATTATTATACATCTGTCACTGTAACGCCATAAATTACAGCGTGACGTAATTTTGCGGTGTTGCACTGAGTATTTGCATTCTACCATATTAGGAAATGAAAATTTCAAATATTGAACGATTACGCGTCTGTTCTAAACTTTTTGGATTTTGGTCATGATGATGTATCCTTGGGAGGAAAAGATGTGTACTAACACAGTTATTACAAGGATACCGCAAAGTATGCACTCAGACAGTTAGCAGTTGCATCAACCTCCACTGCACGTTGGCTCCCTTTGTACTGTCTTCAAATTGCAATAAAAGTACATGTTTTTGATAGACTGTTTCAGATGTGTGAAATGTACATTTATTAATTATGTATTTACAGAGATGTGAAGAACCAACTATAGAGCTAGTGTTGAAAACTTTGAGAAATTTTGCAGTGGAAAAAAGGTGATGTCTGTTATTATGTTTTTAATAGAACCATTTCAACCATTAATCTCATGTTAGAGACAGAATAATGGGCTGCAAAATAATATTTGGTTTTGTATGTTTTCATTTTGTATAATTATGTTTGAGCTGATTGTAGTATAAATTTTATATGTTTGATATATTTTAATGAATGCTATATTTAGTAATAGAAAACAATGCTGTAAATTACCATCTCAGAGATTTGTGTTTGATTTGCTGTGTTTGACAGAACCATTTGATTGGCTCTGTTTGACAGGACGATTTGATTTGCTGTTTGATGGGACGGTTTGATTAGCTGTGTTTTTGACATGATGATTTGATTTGCTGTGTTTGACGGGACGATTTGATTTGCTCTGTTTGACTGGGTGATTTGATTTGCTCTGTTTCACTGGAAGATTTGATTAGCTGTTTGATGAGAAGATTTGATTTGTTCTGTTTGGACGATTTGATTTGCTCTGTTTGACGGGATGATTTGATTTGTTGTGTTTTTGACATGATGATTTGATTTGCTGTGTTTGGCGGAACGATTTGATTTGCTCTGTTTGACGGGATGATTTGATTTGCTCTGTTTGACGGGTTGATTTGATTTGCTCTGTTTGACGGGATGATTTGATTTGCTCTGTTTGACAAGGCGATTTGATTAGCTATTTGATGAGAAGATTTGATTTGTTCTGTTAACTGGATGATTTGATTTGCTTTGATTGACAGGATGATTTGATTTCCTGTGTTTGCCAGGAAAATTTGGTTTGCTGTTTGACAGAACAATTTGATTAGCTGTGTTTTTGACATGATGATTTGATTTGCTGTGTTTGACGAGACGATTTTATTTGCTCTGTTTGACTGGATGATTTGGTTTGCTGTTTGACGAGATGATTTGATTTGCTGTGTTTTTGACATGATGATTTGATTTGCTGTGTTTTTGACATGATGATTTGATTTGCTGTGTTTTTGACATGATGATTTGATTTGCTGTGTTTTTGACATGATGATTTGATTTGCTGTGTTTTTGACATGATGATTTGATTTGCTGTGTTTGACGAGGAGATTTTTTTATTTGCTCTGTTTGACTGGATGATTTGGTTTGCTGTTTGACGAGATGATTTGATTTGCTGTGTTTTTGACATGATGATTTGATTTGCTGTGTTTTTGACATGATGATTTGATTTGCTGTGTTTTTGACATGATGATTTGATTTGCTGTGTTTGACGAGGAGATTTTATTTGCTCTGTTTGATGAGACGATTTGATTAGCTGTTTGACGAGATGATTTGATTTGCTCTATTTCACTGGATGATTTGATTTGCTCTGTTTGTTGGGATGATTTTTTTGCTCTGTTTAACAGGAGGATTTGATTTTGTCTTTGTATTTGTTTGGATCGATTGCATATTGTATTTGTAATTATCAATATAATACCCCAATTTGCTTTGAATGTATGCAGTTGCAACAATCAAAAGTTTGCATGTCTCCCATTTATATTTGCTTGTTGTAATCTTTCTTCTCTACAACTATCTTACTACTACATTTTTTATGGGAACAACTTTTTGCTGAGTGTATAAAGTTTTTATTCTAAATAATTTGTAATTAACATAATAAGAATTTTGCTTGTATTATTTCACATACCAAGCTGTTTGTATTATTTGTGTGAATACTGCAAAGTATAAACAAAGGTCATTGTTTCGACCAATGCTGAAATTGAGATTAGGGCCAGCTTGCGATGTTGTTCCCATTTACATGATGGGATTTCATTTATATCAAGTACTGCAATAATGCTGTGTCCAATGTAAACAACAAGATCTGTTTGAATATGACATGAATATTAGACGTCCATAACACTTTCAGTTGCGTTTAATTTTAGTTTTTACAAAAGGCAGTATTCTAATAATTCTTATTTTGTCTCTTTCCAGATACTGCCAGGAAGTGTTAGCAGAGGGTGGTGTACATGCAGTTTTAGTGTTATTACCTCGCATGAAAACTTCTACTTGTATTGTATCAGGATTGCTGATGTTATCCACAGTATTGCCAAAACTGGACAGGTTTGTTATCTACCATAACAACTGCGTTGACATTTTATCAGTTGTTACTTTGCTTGTAATGTTGATTAAGGTATACCAATGACTGATGTTGTCGTCTTATGTCATTGCTACAAAAATATGGTCACCAATGCTATTAAAAAAAGTAGCTAAAATGTTTTTTTCGATCACTAATCGACAACTTCGAAAATAAGCGTTCAATTTGTATTCATGCCACCAAATGTTCAGAGTTGGTAGCCAGTTTACATTACTGGAAATAAGTTGCTACTATATTTGTTATTTCAGTTTTGAAGACTGTATCAACATTGATGAAGTCATACAGACTTCAATACAACTGATATGCAGTAGACCCAAACTGGTGAGTTATATCAAACAAAAGATTTTTTTACACTACTGGATTTCTAAATAAATTTCACAACCCCTGAATAGAAAATCAAAGATAGTTTTATTTTGTTGAACTTGTATGTGAGACGGAGTATTTAGAGTCAATGTGAAGCTACTTACAAGATTGTACCTGATTGGCTACCCAACCTTAACATCCAACAGTCAGACCAATCAGAGGGCAGCTTGTTAATTTGTTGACGTATCAAATTCTGCCTTGAATATATGCTTTGGGTCACCTGAGATCTGACAGTGTATAGAGTGGGTCAGTGTTTCAACCAGGTACTGTAAAGGGGTTAATTATTCACTGGGTTTTAATTTAGCTTATTTCGCTGACTGGAAAAATGCGCTAAATTAAAACCCAGTGAATATGTAAAATTTAGCATAGAACACATTATCTAAATGACGAAACCGTGAATTTAAAACCCACTGATTATGCCTGAAATGGTAAATCAGTGAAATTTAAACCCAGTGAAAATTAGTCATTTTACAGTATTTAGAAAACGTGTTTAGCAGTGAAGTGATATGAAGGATAACTATATCTAGCATTGTACAATACATCTTTTCTATATGTCACACTGTCAATGCTTATGACAAATGTTGTGGGGTGAAAGTAATGGCATAGTCATCTGTTAATAAAATACGTTTCTGGAAAGATTTACTGTATCCTAAATGATGAACTATGACACTAACATTTTGAATGTTTTTCTGTTTCTGTTTCATGAAATTTGCAACTATGCTGGACTAAGTTGTATAAATATTGACTGGATGTCATTGTTCTCTTTCTTTACAGTTATTAAAATCGGGAATGCAGTTACTGAAACTAATTTTTCCTATGGCAAAGACTGTTAGAAATGAACAAGACATCTATCGAATAATACAAAGGTGAATGATCCAAAAGTGTTGGGCTTTGTCTGCTCTTGTGGTAATAACTGGTGCCCTCAGTGGCAGCCAAATAGAACCCATACAAAATATATGAATGTATTTACTTTGTCAGTATTGTGAGTGTGATGGCAATTGCCATGTTTTTGGTTCATGCTTGAATGGTGTGGTCATCATGCCAAGTTGACAGGAGGGATGATGTGATCAACCATGGTACACTTCACGATAATGATGTTTTAGGCAGATATTTTACAATTTATCAGCTTCATGCTGGTGGCATCTTGGTTCCAGTTTAAAAGTTTTAAGAAATGTTTGTAAAATTTAAGAAAAGTGTTTTCATTCAGACACAAATGCAACAGGATCAAATATAATTTGAGACATTGTAAGATATTTCTGTTGGACAACAGCCAATGATGTTTATTCACTTTCTAAAAACTGACACAAATGATGCAACAAATTTCATCATGCTTATTCCAGAGTAAAAATGTTTGTTTCATAATAAAGGCTGAAATGATGAATATTTTCTTTTGTAGTGCCATAGATGCTATGGTTTTAGATCCAAAGACAAGGCGTGTGTGCAGTTCTTTGATGACCGAGTTTGGAGGAGATGTTACTAAAATGAAACGACCACTTCATCCTGGAGATATAAACAGTCCTGTTACCCTGAGAAAACCATTATTAGAGCGCCCAAGCTTTGTGCAAGCTAAGGAAGACATGATTGACTTGCCACCACTAGAGGGCACCATTGAAGAAAATCTGTCTTGGTAAGAATTATGTCGTGTTTCAATTATGTTATCCATTTTAATCCACTATCAAATATTTTCAAAGACTTTAATTAACCACTGGAACATCGAATATCAAGGCAGAATATTCTAGCACATGGCTGAGCCATTTTGCTAATTACATCACAGAATGGCAATGCTGTAATCAATAGAAAGATTTGAAGGAATTTGGGAAAGTGTAAATTCATTCTCTTGTTGTAATTGTAGCCAAAGTTGTGTCGTATATATATATTTTGCTATCAAAATCAACGCTGATACTGAAAATAACAGTATCAATGGTAAGATGACAGTGAAGTTGCAAAACTTTACAAAAGTCACCTGAGATAAATGCATTGTTAATAGCGGCTTCAAAACCCTGTATAGGGTGATTGTCATTCTGTAACTATATACTTAAACATGTGTGTTTCTATTTCAGTGTTCACCCCAAGGTACTTTGGTCCCAAAGAAAAGATCAAATAATGTTGAGTATTCAGTTAACTGGAGTCAAAGATATGAAATTGCTCGTAAAAGATAATGTCTTTAAATTTAGGTATGTATGAGTCACGAGAATGAGTTTTTGACCGGTGAGGGCATACTCACTTTGAATTATTAGTCAGGCTTGATCACTGAATAACTCTAACCTAGTGAATTTATTTCAAAATTAAAATTAGTTTTTGGCAATTAACTGAATAAACAGCTTCTCTTTATTGCCTTCAATTGAAACAGTGCCTTGTGAACACACGACAAATTTGTATTAGGATGTTCGCTCTTGTTTATTTTATTGAGCATCTATATGGTCTGCTAAGATCCATGGCCTCTGGTAACAACATGAATTCAACCCCTGTCATTATTTTGCCCCAAAAACACTAGAAATCACCATGCAATGTAAAGGTGTATATATTTAAGTTATAATGGAGAGAATTTATTAAAGTTTTGTTGACTTCTAGTACAATACTAGATGGACGAAACTATTGCGTTGATGTAGATTTGTACTGCACTATTGAAAATTACAAATACAAGATTACTGGATGTGAAGTGTTAGTGGAATTAATCAAACACCAGAAAGATACCAAGTGGCCACGATTACTCCAAACTAAACAAAAGGTCAGTATCCAATTATTGCAACTATTGGGAAGTTGTTTTAACAAAATATTTTTCCTGCCCATTTTTGTTCACTAAATTTCAACATTGTTTTGATTCATACAGACAAGTTCAATTATTATTTGACTCCCGTTTGCGAAGCACATCATGGGAGTCTTTGCAGTTAGTGTGTCTGTATGTATATGTGTATGTGTGTGTGTGTGTGTGTGTGTGTGTGTGTGTGTGTGTCCAACTGTTCCACTGCTATCTCAAGAACCATACATCGGTTTTTAATGAAACCAATGCGCAGATTTGATTAGGTTTTGGTAGAAATCCATGCTCATTAATTACCTAATTTGCATGATAAGTTTAGCTAATTTTTATCTGTTCCATGACTATTCCACTAATATCTAAAGAACCACTCATTGGATTTTAATGAAACTTGGTACATAGATGCTCTGAACATGTGCGCAGATTTGTTTATTTTTTGGTAAAAATATGCGCATATTAATTACCTAATTTGCATGATAATTAGCTAATTTTTAGCGGTTCCATGACTGTTCCACTGATATCTAAACAACCACTCATTGGATTTTGATGAAACTTGGTACATAGATGCTCTGAACTAATGCTAGGTTTTGATTAGTTTTTGACTCCCATGTGCGAAGCACAAAATGGGAGTCTTTGCAGTTAGTGTGTCTGTATGTGTGTATGTGTGTA